ATTTCATTTTAATGCTAATATTTCATTGTTCCATCAGATACTGGTGAATCCTCACAGTTTAGTGACAGGAGGCGGAAAGCGTTCAAAAAGAAAGAAGAAGAGAATGGACACGACTCCTCGACCATTAGCATGTCCTCCATTACTATTAGCATAGACGAAGAGAATGAGCCTCATTATACTCTTGGTGGGATAATAGAAGCAGAGGAACTATCAGAACCACTCTCATTGTGTCTAGTAGCTAAATATCCAATTTATGATGCTTTACAGGTAATATTAATAATAATGTACATGTACACGTATGTGTATATGTGTAAGTACATGTACTTTCATGTACATGTACATGATATGCAAATGTACATCTATTTGATTATGTTCTTCTTTCTATCCTCTTTCTCTCTCTTAGGTTCTATTAAAAAGTATATACATTCACCATGTGATGGGTGATACATTAGACAAGTCTTCATCTTCACAGCTCTCAGTCTCTTTTCACTCTACTACAATGGAGGAGCTGATATCCGAATTACTGATTGACCTTCGGTTCCCTTTGCCAGGGAAACCACTCGTGAAGCGTAGCTTTGGCCCACTCAAGGAGCTAACTTTAGTGCCATTGAATGTAATGGAGACAATACCTTATACTTCAGATAATACTTATAGACTGTTGAAAGCTATTGGTAAGGATTGGAATAAACATATTAGTATTTGTAATTATTGTTTATATATAATTTCCTTCTTTGAATCTTATTGTTTCTCTTCTGCCTCTCTCTTGTTTCCTTTATTCTTAATTAGGTGTTCATGGCCTGTTGCAGTTATTTTCATTGATCTTGGTTGATGGGAAGTTGTTATTTATTTCTTCTAGTATCACTGCCATCACTTCAGCCATTATCAGTGTTGTGTCATTGATGTATCCAATTGGGATTGAGTGAGTATAAATACACTAATCCCTTTTCAATTGTGACTTTTCAACTTTTGTACTACAACCTCTTTCTTATTCATGGTTTCACCTTCTCTCTCTCTTTCTCTCCTCTTTTATTTTATATTTTAGTCATTTCTCTTGTCTCCTGATTCCAAGTGGTTTTGTTGAGTACCTTCACTGCATTACTCCATTCTTAATGGGACTCCATCGCTCATTACTAGTAGAACTGGATGAAGAGGTACATCTAATACAGTGACACTGTAAATTATATATCCCTATATTAAATGTACATTGTTAGTAATAATTGGTGAATTGGAAGCATCTAATTAAGCTACCAAGCACTCATCATTTTGTAGCATAAAATCCCATTACATCTATAATGTACACATGTATGTATATGTATACGCATAGTGTCCATATGTGTGTATACTGGTACGTGTATTCTTGTGCATGTTGTATGGATTTGTAATCATTTTCACTTTCTTGTTAAGAGTGTGTGTAAACTGTGTCTCCTTCTTCTCTCAAGCCACTAGATGTCACACTAGTTGATCTTGACAGTGGGGAGATTAGGTTTGGCGAAACGGTTGAGCTACCTATTATACCTTCAGATCTGCTCACTCCAGTCAAAACTGCTCTCATTAAAGTAAATATTATATACTTATTTAATTACTCCTGGTATTTCCATTACCAAGCCCCTTCTAGTAATTACTATAATAATAATAATATTATTATTATTATTATATTATAATGTTAGATTGTTGATCCTTCATGGGAGCATAAGGATCTATTAATAGCTCCTGTCAATAAGCCGAGAAGCATCTATTATCAGGTACTGTACATGTATATCAATTCACCTCACCCTCTATCTATGTACATGTACAATACATATATGTACACAGTATACTATGTACATTGTGTATCTATTATTTTGTCATATATAT